CTTTCCGGCAGCGGAAGCAATCCCTTCCTCCCGAACCCTTGTCCAAGTTGCGCGCTGAGCGGTGTTGCATAAAAATTCACCCGACCCGGGCGCTGCTGGCTGGCTGTTCTTCCCTACAAACCACACGACAGAGAGCCCTAGGTTTTCACACACACCCCCCCGCCCCCCAAAGAACCTACCCCAAACTGATGCTGTGTACAGGTGGCCAGGACAGTGCTTGTCTCCCAGTTCCTTACCCTTGTCCAAGTTGCGCGCTGAGCGGTGTTGCATAAAAATTCACCCGACCCGGGCGCTGCTGGCTGGCTGTTCTTCCCTACAAACCACACGACAGAGAGCCCTAGGTTTTCACACACACCCCCCCGCCCCCCAAAGAACCTACCCCAAACTGATGCTGTGTACAGGTGGCCAGGACAGTGCTTGTCTCCCAGTTCCTTACCCATGTAGAGAAACAAGGGAAGAGGGCCGTTTCTGTTAACAATAACAAAAACTTGTAGCCATTAAGAAATAGATTCAAAACCATACAAACAAAATATCATTTGCTAGGGTAGTAGGATTCAGATTGAGAACGCGTACTTCCACAGCTCTGGCATTGAGTTACTCAGCTACTTAGTTGCTAAGAGGAGGGCTGGAGATCTGTCAAGCCCAGCTTTAGCAGTTGGGGGGCTTATTTTCATGCTGCACCTCTTCATCCCCCCTTTTTTCCAACTGTGAAATCCCACTCGGGGATGAATAGAGGGAGTGGTCTCGGCCTAGGAGTAGCTTGCTGGCTGTACCACCCAGCGCCAGGTCGCAGCCTGGGAGGCGAAGGTAACGAGCTGTAGTACAGACTGCACCCAGCAGGGCTGGGGTGCTGCAGGGGTAAGCGGCTCTTCCAGAAAGCTCTCGTTGAGGGGATCTGTTAAGAAGATAAACCTTAGACCAGCTCCCAGCCACCTCCGTGAGGAGAGGCAGTGGTGAGACTTGCCTCTGTCTTTTCCAAGCAGCATACTCAATGCTGTATTCGGGTATCTGTGTAAGCGACAATCTGGTTTAGAGTTCCTTCAGTAGAGGAGGAGTGTACACAGGAACATATAAAATTACTCAAAATATCTACTAGGACAAGGAAGAGAAGCATGCTTATCTCAGCATAGCACCAAAACAGCTCTAAACAGTATCTGGGTGGCAATGCTTCATCTACCACGGTTTGATAAATCTGCCCAGGCAATCTTTTGTACCATACCGCTGGTTAAAGCCAGATGCATGGTATAAAGGCGAAGAGGAGGAATGATGACAACACATGAAGGACAACCACCACCCAAAAGCAGTGTAAGAGTTTAAGGAAAACGCCAGATTTCACTCAAAAGTTTCTTTTGCTGACAGTAACAACACTGCCTAGCTGACAGAAACCATACTGAAGACAAAAATAAAGACTGTGTTGTTGCCATTGTTGAAGAATACCAAAGGAGCACACTACGTACAACAGCATCCCTTTCTTACAGATATGGGGCAAAAAACTTACACATAAGTATCAGACCAAAGCAGAAAGTTAGCTTCCAAAAGTAAAGTGTCAACCAGCAGCATTTATCCTCTCTTTAGTGTGTTTGTAGCAGCAGTGGAGTTTTACAGCTTGCCAATGAGTTACCAAATCGCACCTCAGCATATTAGTCAGCAGCACCTTTCCTTGATAAACAAACACTTCACTGCGTTGAAATGCAGAAATATTTATTTTGGTTTCCTTCATTGGTTTTGAAAATTGTTTTGGTTTTATAAAACATAGAAATAGCCAACACTAAGCAAACATTTGGATTCCAATGTAACAAACTACCGCTCTAACAGTTGACTGGGATTTGTGTACCTTAATTGCACACACGTATGAAATTATGCTACAGAGTAGTGCATTACAATCACACACAAATCTTAGTGCAAACCTTGTTGTGCTTGTATTTTACATATATCCATGTTTTCAAAAAACAGCAACGAATGCTAATGCAAAACCAACTCTGTTAAGGATAGCAAAAGTCTTATGCTGTAATAAGGCTTATTTCTGCTGATTTCTCAAACAAAAGGTAATAGTTATTTTGTCATCTATCTGGGAATTAGATTCTCATCCCTGAACAAACACCTATCCTGTGCCAACACACAGTTCTGTTGGCATATTTAAATAACTTCCAATTGCTGCAAAGCATCAGGCAAAAACATTCTACCTGACCTATTTTGCTATTCAGTGAAGAATACTCAGTGGCTCATACATAAAGCACAGAAAACTGAGAGGTTATGTCAGAAGCTCTTCCACTTATAGAGGACCTGGCACATTTAAAAAAAAAAATGCATTTTCAATACACATTCATTACAGGGAAATGAGTGGCTAGTACAGGTGCCGTATTTACCTGTCTGTTAGCATAGCCCAGCCTCCTGAATGGTTTGGGTTTTTAGGTCTCTAGTGTTCTTGCCAGAGTTAGGATCTGTTCATTTACAGGGCTGGCATTAACTCTGGATTTGTGTTAACGTAGCAAAGGCTACACTCGCTGAATTACCTGCGTCCACACTTCCAGTGCAGAACCACCTTATGCAGACTTACTCTGAGGAACTTTAATTCATCAGCCTCCTTTGTGTGGAATTCTGACTTCTACCTTACAAAAGTACATCTCTGAACTGGTGGCAGATATAGAAGGGAGAAAAACCACATAGATGCCTTGCCTCAGTTAATATTAGGACTAATGCAAGATGCCATACCAGCTATACAACCGTAGAGGATTTTTTTGGTGGTGTTTTTTTTCTGAACAGATTAAGTAATCCTTCTGAGGATGCAAGATACTTGGAGGCATTTTCAAACCCACCAAATCCTTCGTGGAATCAACAACTGCAAAATACACTGCAGACAGCAAACGTGCTGGCAATAGGAAAACCTTAGCTCCTTGGTGAAGGACAGTCCCATTTTTGGCCAAGGAAGTCTTAAATAACTTACATATAGTTACCATTTACAGTTAAGGCTCTTTTTGGAAATTGTAGGTCACCATAAAAACAGTACGCAACACAACTTGACAGTAAGGCAGTGTTCCATTTCTTCAATGTTCCTATGGCAAGTACCCATTTTTGTACAAGTTAACGATTGCACAGTTTCCTTCCCTATGTTTGCTGTAGTCCAATTACAGAAATGAAGGCCAACAGTAGACATCAGACGTGTGCCACTTTCCTCATTCCATTCTCTGTTACATTTTGGCATTAGCATAGAGTTCTTCTATCTGTGACTGGAAATATTTTCGCAGTTCTGGTCTCTTTGCCTTCAGTGTTGGTGTCAGCAGGCCGTTTTCAATAGAAAACATTTCAGTGTGCATGAAAATGTCTTTGACCTGGAAAATAAACAGTTACTAGCCAAGCTGCATTCCTTGGAATAGACAAGGCTATGAAAATGACTGGCTAAACATCATAAAGCCTTTAATGGTTTTCCAGATGCAAATTAAAACCAATTTCTGCAGAGTTATATTATATTGGTATCAAGAAGTTTAAAGAATTAGGTGTTCAGTTCTCATTCGCATCTTACCTGTTCAAATGACTTCAAACCAGATTCTTTCCCAATCCTCACCATGTCTTCCAGAATGTGGTTTTTGAGGTCCTGTGGATACAGGAACACACTGTATAGCTTGAAACAGTTGATGCAGAACAGCTAACAGTTTAGATTATGTTAGATATGACCTACCTTATTTTTGCACAGCTCTTCATAGGACCCTTCAAATCCCTTTTTCTTGGCCCAGACACGCAATGTCTCAGGATCAGGTACCACAATAGCTACTAAGAAGGCCTAAAAAGGAATTTTTGTCAAGCTTTTTTTTTCTTTTTAAAGTCAACACTAGTTCCTACACATTTCTTACTAGTCAGTGTTAGGTTTTGGAGAGCAGTTCTGATCCTGCTGTGAAATCAGCAGCTGTCTGCTACTTGAACACAGGAGTGCAGTTCAGAAGCTTACTGTTAAGAGAATTATTTTTGTTAAGACCCACGTTTCAATTTACACTTGCAAAAACCTGGACATCTTGGTTGGGTTTTTTTGTTTGTTTTATTTTCCCTGCGCACTATTAGCAACTTAGGTATAGTCATTAATACTCAGTTAAGTTAATGCAGCTCTACTGCCTGGTCTGAATCTAAATCCAGAAACATGTTATGTGACTGCTGGAGTCAAAAGTGCATTCAGAACCAAAGTGTATAATGTTAAATTTTAATATTTCATTCCCAGATTTTGGGGTGGGAAGAAGGAGGAAAGGAAAACTTTTCCAGTCTTCTCTTGTATTCCTTTTTTTAAATTACCTGACAAATGCTTACCTGCAAGCTCTCTCCATGGACAAACACCTGAGCAAGTGCTTCACATCTCAGATACACATTTTCTATTTTCTCTGGTGCTATGTACTCTCCCTGGGCTAGTTTAAATATGTGTTTTTTCCGGTCAATGATCTTCAATGTACCATTCTGTTGACAGAAATAACTTCCACTCAGAAGAGCCACTTGAAGTGAAAAACTAATCTACACAGCTTAAGCATGCCACACAAGACCACGTAACACACCAGAATTAAAACACACAAGCAAGAATTTGTTTCTAGATGTTTCAACTGCAGATATTCCTGTGCAATGTTTGTTCAGCTTTCAACAGACCACAAGTGCTATTGCCTGAATTCTGGTTTAATACAAACTT